TGTCCACATAGTAAATACAGTATATTTTCAACATTGAAAGTGTGATGGTGCTTGCATTTTGATATTAGCAGCACCATACAAAGCACAGCTGAGCCTCTATATCTCACAGAGCTGCCTTCCAGAATGACTCCAGACTCTTCCTCTCATTAACAATTTTTTCTCAAAAAGGAAGGAACAGATTTGAGACTGAGAGACACAGGATGAAGTTAGAAAACACTTTTGTTTTCCCATCATACCACTGGTAAGACAAAAGCTAAGGTGAAGGCAAAAATGCACTTCTATTTACCTTCTATCTTAAAATAAGTTTTAATTTTCATTTAATGGATAGAAGTATTAACATGTGCGTCCCATTTACATATTGTTTATGTTATTGCAGATATTATATAGTAAAGAGATACCTTCATCATAGGGAACAGGGAGATAGGACAGGATTCCCTCTGACCACCACAATGTGTAGCTGGAAATAAGAAAAAACGAATTATTAAAATCTTCCAGAGAACTTTCCACTGACTCGAAGATCTCTACTGTCTCTTCTGGGACTTCACATAACCTTGGCTGAGCCACCTACTGTAAAACTGCTGAATACATGACTCATCCTTTTATTCAATATGACCAATATGACTGAATGCACTGATTATGATTTAGTGTGTGATGTGCTAGAAGCACAGTGTGTGGCTGCCAAACTGACTTCACGTCTGCCCGTGCTAATTTATCCAAACAATGCCTGTGCTACCTTGGCCCATGGGGGCACCATAAACTAGTGGCCTGTATCCAAAAAGTGGGTCTGCTTTTATGCAACATGGGAAGCAAACAACACGCATACTAGTGCGCTGCCACACACAATGACAAGAGCGTTGATGTGGGTCACAAGTTATAATGGAATACAAAAGTCAGTATGAATAAGGACGGACCAACAATGAGCGCTTCACAGGTTGACAATACATCAGATTGAAGAAAAAACTGCTTCATGTATCAACTAAAGGTTAAATGTGCAGTGGATAATATGTATCTCAGTAATAGGCAGGTGAAAAGATAATTTCCTAGAAGGAGGTCATAAGCACAAACATATAATACAGAGAAAACACAACTGTTAGAGAACAGCACCTAAAACATAAAATGGCTAGGCAGTAATTTAGAGTAGAAAAAAGGTGCATACATTCATCTGCCATCAATACTTTGGTGCACTGAAAACAAAAAGGTTAAAAAACAAGCAGGGAGTGATTTGCAGACTTTTCTCTTAGGCAACATAGAGGTGGTGCCTGTTTTCTTCCAGTTTGTATGTTCTCCCTAAGTCTGTGTGAGTTTTCTTCCGCTACTCCGGCTTCCTCCCACAGTCCACAGACACGCAGATTGTGGTTAAGTTAACTGGAGACTTTTTTGTTGTCCATAGGTGTGTGTTTACCTGCGTCTGTCTTGGGGAAGGGCCATGGTGCTCTTCTGATGCAGGTAGAAGTCAGTGGGCAGCTCCCACAGGTGCGGTTTGGACTCTGACGGCTGGTAGACTTGGAGAAACAGGTTGATGGCGTCCTGTCTGTCGGCATCTAGAGGAGCAAGATGGACATGTTAACAACAAAAAAACAGCGGCCACAGTGCACAGTCCTCTGCTGATCTGACACACAAATGTTTTGGTCAGACTCTAATTTGCTAAGTTTCTGTTTTTTGAGTTTGTTATAACCTAAAAAATCATTCAAGTGGAGTTGTAGGAACTAGTTTTCAAAATAGTTCTGTTGTTGTGCTGTATGTTCTCAGTGTGCAGTATGTGAGCTTTATCCAGTTTTGTCAGCTTAGCAGTTTGCCAATTATAAGAGGTGAAATCCATTTCAGAGGACAGGAAAGGAGACTGCAAAGGTGCCAATTAATGAAACCAAGGGTAAAGCTGAACTCACTCACCCGAATCGAAAAAGACTCAGCTGCTGATCACCTCCCTGCAAAATGTTTGGCTATGAGCGGTGCAGAGATAATCTCTGTTGGTGTTTGTGTGTTCAGTATGTGGCACGTGTTCTGCATGTTGCCCAGTTTGGTGCCATTTAAAACATCCACCAACTGTGATGCCACGTGCAGGTTGTTCCAACAGTCACGTCAGAAGATTAGAAACTAAATTGGGTTCACTAAAGGTGAGATTTAGGTGAAAGGGATCTTTTGGCAGAAACTGAATATAAAATAATCCTAGTGATGTTTTTACCAGTGTGTTTCATCTAAATTGTACAAATTGTTGTTATCTTTACCCTGGAATGGGAACTTTATATTTAAATACTAATTTCAAGGAGCAGGTTCTCTCTAGGGAGGCCGCCATGTTTTTTACAGAAGCCCAAACTGGACAAACTAAACATCTTTTGAATTGACAACTGAAGGCTACCACAGGTTCTCTATCTGCAACATGCAATTTTACCACTAGATATCGCTAAATTCTACACACTGAACATTTAAAACCTTTAAAGCCTGCTACAAAGCCTTCTCTCTAAGAGCAGCGAACAAAATATGCACTAGAAGTCATTGTTAAGAAAACATTGGCTTGTTAAATGTATTATGAATGAAATGCACAGAGTAAAATTGAAATAAGTGAAATAAAACACTGTCTATAAAATGAATATTTTTGTTTACATTCATGTTTACAGGCTCGGTCGTCCAAGGTGGTATGATTTTTGGGTGATATACTCTGAAGAAGATCTTACATCAATAAAATTACATGAAAATGAAAACCTGAAATGTCAGATTTGGCAATAATAGAAGAAAATAGAACCTAAGAGGGCTGCATCGTGAGCCTCTCTCACTTGACATTTCAGTCAGAAATAAAACAATCAGCTACTTTACAGGCTCTGCACTGCAACCAGCCAGACATCCAATTTCATAAAAGACGTAAGGGAGGTCAAGATATTAGGTCAAGTAGTACAGCTCCATTAGTGCTGGCTTAATACACAACACAGAATACACAATCTCACCTCTTGGTTTCTGGGGACACAATTGCCACCTTTTGATGTGGAACAGTCACTAGTGTGTTGTGCAATCACATGTGTACATTCATGCACCTTTTTCTTTGACACAGTTTCTAATTGGATATTTAATTTGGTCATTTTTAGTAATTTCAGTAATCTAAAGATGTCTTTCGGCGTCATATCAGTTTTCAAGCTGCAACAATTCTTCATGGGATTCTCAATTTGTGACTATGAGTCACTCTTTTCAGAACCAAAGAGAATCTCATGCACAGCAGGACACGAGCTCCATTAAGTGCTGGAGGATCCACCAGGCTCCTGGAGCTGATGTTTTCAGTTTTTATTCAGCAACACTATATATATATATATGTGTGTGTGTGTGTGTGTGTATGAAAAGTATTAGTTTCTATGGTATCTTGAAGATAATTTGTTTATAAGTATATAAGAGGGTTTCATGCAGATTTGAGATTTTATGTGTTTCACACACCTGAGAAAGCATTGCTGTAGTAGCGTGACAGAGTCTGCATGATGTCTTTGGAGTGTTGAGTCCAGGGGGCGATCTTGCGGTAGGTCTTGACTCTGTGGACCAACTGGGAGCCGCCGTACTGCAGAGACAGTGTGTCTCCATGGTCTTCATATAGCTCCTCAAACAACCTGAAGTACAAAACACACACGCAATCAAAAAATACTCAAGCAATAGACAAACACAGAGGCATCTAGTTGTGCAAAATAAAGCACGAAACCCATAAAGACCAAAAAAAAAAAAAGGGGTGAGATAAAGAGCTTTACCTAACACAGTCTGTATCAAACTGCAGCTTGGGTTTGTCAATCATTCCTTGTGCATATAGTTGATAGGCCAATGCGCACTTCCCCACCATGAATTGGGCAGTGTTGGTCCGGTCCAGACAGTCCACACAGTTGGTCCGCAACACACCAGTCTAAAATGACAGAGACTCCTGAAGCCTAATGACACCACTTCATTAATCTTCAAGAGGTTCATGTATTTAGAGAGTCAGACACAAACTACATGAAAAGACAATAAGTAGAATCATAGCATCAACTGCAAACACATCTCCATGTATTTAACTTCTATAGGTCAATGTATATGTGAAACTGATACAACCATTCAATGTGCACCTACTGTCAATGCATTGGCCCAACTTTGCAGCTGTAGTAATGACTACTGGCCATTTTTTAAATAAACATAATAGATAATAGTTGTTACCTTGGCCCAGATATCTCAGTGTTATGAATCTATAACTCAACTGCTGAATGTGAAAGGTAATTTTCTTATATTATTAGGTGTGCTAATAAGATGGAGAACATTTTTAAACAGTTTTCTCTAAGGTATACCTGCACTCGTCCATTGGCTGTGATGTGTCCACCCACATCTCCCCATCTGAATAAAAGACAGTGGAAACAGAACAAAGCATCTGCTCAGCAGCATATTTACTCATCATTGTCTGCTACAAGCAAAGGGTTTGGTAATTGATTGAATCACCATTTCCATGCAGAACATAGCGAAGTATATATAAACATATATTGTCTACATTACCGCTGGTGGTTTGTGCGAATATGTAACTTTTGACAAAATAACCCCCATATGTCAAGGAGAAAATGTACTGGATCTTGTTTACATCCAAGTTGTTGACGCTAATGTAAGACTGCCCACACCTATCAAAGACTAGACATTAGTTCATTTTTAGTCTAGAGCTTTTAGTTCAAGGTTATTCTGTTGTTTGTATTTCTTAATATCGAACGATTGTTTGCTTCCTTCCTTCCTCAAACTCAATTATTACATAAAATGTGAATGCTGTAAATACCACTCTGGTGTCTGTATTGTTTGTACAAAGCTACAGCTTGCTGTCCAGTTAGCTCATCTTAAATGATAGTTCATCAAATAATTTCTTGGAAAACCAAAAATGCTTAAAATCTTTACTTTTAAGAATCATGTAAAAACACTGTACGTTTTAAGTTGGACTGTGTTCACTGTTTCCCTCTGCCTCCACTCTCAGGTAAATGACTGAAGCTTTTTATTTAATGGACAGATATGACAGTGTTAGCAATCATATTATCTTGGCAAAAACAAAAGCATAAAATGTCAAACCACTTTTTAGGAATAAAAATGGGATTAGCTTTTAGATTTTAAAGTCAGACACTGAATAAGATCCACTGCTGGCTCTTTATTAGCCCTTTTACACCAAATTCTATAGACTACTCACTTTTCATCACTTACTTTTTTAAAGTGTCCTCCAAAAATCAATAACAGGGAAGGAAGAATAACCATGCGAGAAAACGCAGCCTCTCAGAAAAAATCAGAGAATCTCTGAAGACAAAATTCAATAGCTGCTGATGTGTGTTTTTCAAGGCAAGGTGTGTCTCAACATAAACTTAATGAACTGAGAGCAATGAAAAATTGTAGGTCAAGTAATGTAAAGCATGAGAAAACGTTCATGTGAATATAAGGTGGAGAGAAAAGGATAAGAACGTTAACAAATCCTCTTTATTGTTCACAGGCTAACCAACAATATGATGAAGGCTAAAGGTGCCATGGTCATTAGTGCATCTCAATGCTTTTGAGGCTTTTCTTTGTGTGTAAATGGAAGCAGGGGGCTGTGTGCATGAGTGTGAAGCGAGAGCGTATTACAGAGAAAGTGAGACGATGCTGGGTAATGCAAAAGAAGGGGTAATAAATACTGACCTGTCTTGGTTGTTGGATTATGTAATAGAATGGTAATGTTGGGTGAAAGTGATTAAGACATGCAGACAATGCACGAAGCACATGGACGGCAATCTATTCAGCTCATTAGCAGAAAAAAAAATATCCCCGACCCAACTGCCATCAGGCATAATTTTCATTAAGAATTCATATGTGGAGAGTTTCTAAATTAACCAGTGTGGGCAAATGTATCCGGATAGGTGTGAGCACAAGAAGGAATACACTCAAGCTAGATAAAAGGTATGTCCGATATGCAAATGCAGAGATGATGGCGATGTGGTTGAGCACATAGTTTCTGGTAAAATAGTTGTTTTTCTTACATTTCATTAAAAACCATTATGCATAATCTGTAAACTAACAGAAACCCAATGTAAGCTTTTACTACTAAAGGCTCCTTTACGCACAAAAAGACACATACTTCCATGTGTCCTTTACCTTGCCATGGTTGTTAAGAAAAAAATCCACAAGATTAGAGCAGAGAATTTCTGACAGAAACAAAGTTTGTGTCCACACAGAATCTTCATATGGATTCTTACCTTTTTCTAAATAAAAATCGTTCAAATGTTCTTTCTCAAAAAAATGCCATAGTTGAATTTTCTTACTTGTGTCCGATATTTATCTGGTTTGAACTATTCTACACTGCCCCATACAATTTCAGATGGTACTGCTCCAGCCTTGAATTATAAATGACTCACCTGTCGTCAGGTCTGAGGGTATGACAGTAGAAGTTGGATTGGTTAATGAAGAAACCTGTTCTCTTGACCACATTCTCCGCTATCATACTCAGACGGTCCAGGACATTGCACAGCTTACTGAGAAACGGACAGAGAAAAGGGTGGTAAAATTATTATTTGCTGAATAAAATAACCCAATTTCTGTCCCAGAGTTGCACAGCTGATGTAAAATACTTTGTAATATGCTTATTTCATTTCTCAACATAAGCAAAACAAGGCCAAATTCTGGGAATAGTTGCCCTGAAGGCGCTTTTGCCCAAAAAGCAGATGCGTGTCATTTCAGGGAACTAAGCCATTATTTCATGTGGAGAGCGCAGCTGTGCAGACTGCTCTCATTTCCCCCCGGTATTTTAAACTTCATTTCAAAAAGTAGAAAACGTCTGATTCCTGTAAGGTGGATATTATGACTGCAACATGTCCCTGCAGCAAAATAATATAGAAAAGAATTGTTCTTTTCTTTCTAAATGTAAATTTTGTGTATTTCCTTAAACTATTCATTACACCTAATATTGCTTCTAGAACAAATCTCGTGAAACAAAGAAATTATCAACAAGAACAAGAAAAGCTGGTAAAATTATTTCCATACACACGTAATCTATTGTTTCCTAGTGCTGCTGTTTACTCTTCACACTAACGTATAGTCTTGCTCTCTGCATTTGCATCCACAAGTTAATGTATTTTGATTGGAATAACACAAATACGATTTCAGAAAACTCAAATATCTAATTGGCTGTTTAAGTGAAAAAGTTGCATTATGTCCAATTTGGGCAAAAATAATAAAATGATTTCCTTTACATATCATTAACTACGCTGAGAGTATGTTTTCACCACCATCTGTTTGTTTGTTAATTCGAAGGATTAAGCAAAAACTACAGGGCAGACTTCCACCAACTGGATGGAGAGATGGACACGGGCAAAAAAAGGGCACATTAAATTTTAGGCGTAGATCCAAATTTAAGTTCTGGATCTAGAAGATTTAAATGTGGTTATACATGGGAACTATTGGGCCTTGGAGGAGGTAAGTGCTCCACTGTTTTAGCATAAGTGATTTGGATATTTTGACTGTGAAAATACTACTTTAATAAATCTTAACACAAATTCTAGCGGACTCCATTGGCACATTTGTCATTCCAACCTCTTGGTGTAGCGGGCCATGTCCCAGGCAATGTAGTCAATGCAGTGGTCTGGGGGGAGGAATTGGTTTAGGTTGATCACAGCTGGATAAAGCTCTTCACTCAGAATCTTCTCGTGTTTCCTCTTTTCCCGTTTCTGTAGCACAAGAGATATAAACACTATGTCACACGTATGACGTTGGTTCTTTCTCCTATAATAGAATTCACGCTGCTCAGAGTACCCATGACTACACAGATAGATATCACCAGACATGTGACAGATGGTTTCTCTCTTTGATGCATTCACCAAGCCTAATTCATGCTATCCGCATAGTGACCTCAGACAACAATAGAGCCATATGAAGAAATGAACTGGCTGTGAGCATAGATGGACAGATGATTGATGCTGCAGATAAATGTAGGGAACATGTAAGTGGTGCAGGTGTGTGAGATACGTCTGATTTGTGCTGTAAAGAATGAGAGTGCTGGGAAAGCTGTAATTGGAATTGATAATGGAGTAAATAAAAATGAAGTTCAAGAACACATAGATGTATACGTGTGCTAAATGCATTATAGTTTATTTGGAACTGCACTGTCAAACTCTTTTCCATGCAAACATGGAATTTCAAATATTTTGTCTCTACTTTATAGTCTTAACTCCTCAGTGTCACCAATTACCTACAGACCCTACACACAATATCTTGTTTCCGAGGTCCAAATATTTCTTAATCAAACGTCAGAAGGGGAAAATAATCATTAATAAAATTAAACTAATGATTTTTTTGTGAATGAACGCGAATGCACACTGTCCATGAAGTTATCTCTCAATGTCCTTCTCCACCCCTCATTGCGCCTTTTGACCAATCGCCCTGGGTGATAATTGACTTGGATGCATCATTTAGCAGCTCAGATCTTCGTGCACACACCCTCCTGTGGCAAAGAAACACAGTGACCAAATTACCAATGCAAGCACACCCACACGCACAAGACGAGAATAAATTGCACGTGTACATACACTTGAAAAAGCACACGTGTACATACACAGTACATATCATGCTATTAATCTTGGCTGTAGGTGTATGAATGTCTTTAAGGTGATTGATCATGAATTAACCCACAACACATGCACAAGTTGTGCAAACAGGAGGGGCTTGTTTATAGACATCTTAATAGATGAGAGATTTTGATATTCACGATAATTCAATTGAAGTGAATGGCTTAAAATTTGTTTTTTAATATGCTGTCTCCTAAAGTCAGGGCAAATGGACTCAAATTAAGTTAGCCACTTGAAAAAGAGATTCACATGCTTGGCCATGTGCTCCATCACTCTGTCTTCCTGTCTTTCTTAACGTACACACTGGGGAGCAAACACTAAAAAATGATTTACCCCTCCCAGAGTTTATATGGCTACACCGACCCCAGTCGCCACCATATAGGGATGGACTGCCATGGTTTAAAAGTGAATTCTCACTTCCTTTCTTTACCTATCACACTGGGATATGAAAGAGGGTGTAGCAAAGGCAGGGGTTCCCCTCCCCTACAGTCTGCAAATCACATGGCTGTGACTTGTGCGGAAAACTGAGGTTTGTGATTGGTCCCTTGTCTCACAGCTTCCCTTGTGAGCGACAACGTGAGCTTGCAACCCCAGCTTCAGCACAGCGATGAATGCCCAAATGCGGTGATGGCAAGCTGTGTTTGTGTAATAATGTGTGTCCTTTCACCGGTGGTGTTCTCTGTCTATGTTTTCGGTGCAATGCACAGAGAGATCAATATTCAAGGGAGCATTTCAACTGCTGCTAATCACCAGCCATGAGCAGCAACTAACCCCTGAACATCACATCGAGTGGTTGGGCAATTACACAATCATATCCTTATTAGATACAGACCTGTTGAGTGATTCAACAGGTTTGATACAGCTCATCTCAGCTATCTGGAGATAACATAATCCTCACCCTGAGAGGCAGATAAAATATTTTACAACATGACACATTATTATCATCATTTAGGCTGATAAAAGTGCCTATAGTTATGAAGTGAAATTGCCCTTATCTAATTATACTAAATCAAATCCAAAAAGGTCTCCTTCCCATAAACTGTAATTCTTAAAGCATATGATCCCAAATCACAGCAAGTAAATTTGTAGTGGGAAGCAACATTCAGTTCTCCTGATGTAATTTAAACATTATATGCAGGCGATTGGGTGTAACACGTCTCCACTTCCTCACACTGTCCAGCAATTTGAAGTCAGAGTCTGCACTGTGACAAATGGAGGATTGGGACGAACTGCAAATATTTTCTTGATGAAGGTATAGAAATATTCTGTAAAATGCCAGTTCATTCTTTTTCACCATCGGTCAATTATTTTGTTTATTTTGATGGGATGTCAGTTTTGTTCCTGATGTTCCTGGTGTCATTATTATGATTTCCAACAGTCAAGAAGAGGACCTTAAAAAAGTTTGTGCGTGCATGCTACCTTGACCAGGTTGAGGATGATAATGGGAGAGCCAAACCGCTGGAGCATCTGGTCAAAATGGAGGGCAGCTACATGTGCATATGGGTCAGCTTGGTCCACTGAAAAAGAGGAACGATTAACGGATAAGCGGTCGATTAACATTCAAGGAAGGTGAAGATTCCTCATAGTCACAAATAATATTAAAATACCCGGTAGTGGTCTGTTGTGTGTGTGTCACATTGTGCACACACATTGTAAAACCAGCACTGCCACCGCAAGAAGAAATAAATTAACAAAAATATATATTTTTTTAACTGCATCCAGCTTCTTCAAAACTCAAGCGTCATTACTGATACACGGGGAGATCAGGTAACAAGCGTTAACAGGTGTCAGGGGTTTGTTTTATAAATCCAATAAAAATGAACAAATAAGTGTGATACTGGTGAAGTTGAACACTGCACTGCTGCGACAATGTTACTTGTGACATCAGCCTTTGCTCCAGCTTATTGTCCCACTGTTTTATGCATTTTCTTCCATTTTTATTCTTCTATTCATTCTTTATCCCCGAATCATGTTTAATGACTCCATTTACTGCTCATCGTGAGTCCCCCACCTGCAGAGTGCTGTCAAATTGGACCAGTGAAGCAGCCAAAAGAAACAGAAGAAAAAGGTCATCTCACTCCACAGTGTGTCCCACGCAGACAATAACGCACACACTCTGGCACACGCTCTTCAAATTCACTCCACTACTCTTTCAACATGATAGTTTTGCTGCATTCCTCCAGGGAGACAAGACTTTGTGAAAACAAAGAGACGGCAAGCTTTGAATTCTTATCGTACCTGGGAGGAGAGTGTTGATAATGATGACGATGATGAACAAGAGTCGCCCATTAAGGTCATCTCCATCACAACCAAGACATTTGCCCACTCGAGGTCAGTCATAAAGACTGGTTACGTAACAATTCCTCTCACCAGTTATCACATACACAGCCAATGAGCGATACATCCTGGGATGTGCACAATGTACTCAACATGCACAGACACAGAGCTCAAACTTTCTCTTTGCCACGTCGCTGACCTAGATTTGTCTGATATCATTCTGTGCAGCCGACATCAAAATCAAATAAATATTACAATTGCAGTGAACATGGGCAGATCATCAGTGGGATCTGAGCTGCACCTAGTTCTGCATGGTTGAGGTTTCACAATAGTCATGGTTGTGGTAGAATGGCAAAAACCTCTTTAATTTTTTTATGTGCTGCAGCTGAGAAGCTAATCTGCTGTCAAGCCTGTAAACCTGTGGATGTTGATTTAGTTGTGAGTTGTGAGTTGAAAAAAAGGTGGGTACACATGTTTGTAAGTTTGACACAACTCCCCTTCATTGTGTTTTTTCAGATTTTGGCTCCAAAGAAAAGCAGATCTGCAGAAAATATTTTCAAACATCATACACAAGTTCCATATTTTAAGAATTACTCAGAGAATCACAGATTGTTAGCTTAGCATAACACAAAGACTACAAAAAGCTAGCCTGTCTTTGTCTAAAGGTAATTAAAAGACCGCACAGCAAAACTGCTTAAGAATTCAGTACAAAAAAATGATGTGCAATATCAACACATGTGCAGGGGTACAGCTTCATACACACAGTAATGACATGAGAGTGTTTTTAATCTTCTCATATGAATGATGCCAGGAAAGCAGAATTGCAGTTTCGCAGGTTCTGAGTTGGGCAGCATTTGTCAGATGAGGACAGGCTTTCAGCATCACAGTGGGACCAGGACGATGAGGTAAGTTGATACACGGAGGGTTCTCAGGGACACGCTCGGTCCTTCTTAAACAGCTAAATGTCATCTAAGGATAAATTAAAGGGCAAATTCTCAAGGACCTGATCACCTCCCTCTGGCCATGGTTTTGTGTTTTTATCCCTCTCGTAATGAGACAGGAGAATGGATACAAAGATGAGAACCAAAAGATCAGTGGTGCCCTGGCTTCACCTATTTCTTTTTCTTTTTTTTTTCTTAGTGCCAGAGTTGGAGTAGAATGAACCCTGGTAGAAAGACACTATCTTATGTTAATGCATTTGTTCTGATTGCATTAGTCTTCTGAGCCTACAGGGTTATTTCTTGTTCATGGTAGCTGCTAGCATGAATATATTGAGCAGTATAAAGAGAACTAGCTAAATACCTGCTGTGGTGCTGCATACTGTTCAAAGGGATATTTGTGGACATATAATTTATCTCCTGTGGATATGAGAAAAATCCTGCATTGAAATCTCATGCGGATATAACCCATGATGCATATTAGTCTGGTACAAAATAGAGGCTGCTGATGAACAGGACAGATATATTAGGTGTAAACTGTGGTCTTACATCGTATGGGGGGTTTGGGCATCATGGTGGAAATATCCTGAGACCAGTAGAGCGGGACTGAACCTCGCACTTGGACATATGAAGAGTAACTTCCTGCTGTGAAAGACATAACCGAGGCGTCATGGACAATCTGCTCTGTCTCCACCTCGTTAGCCACATCCCCCTAGAAACAAAAGAAGAGCACAAAGAAACCTTAAGCAATATTAATACCACAAGGTCAGTTTAGTTTTTGGTCTGGAGCTTTGGATCATATCAAAGAAATGTACACATGCAAATTTCCTTTGTTTTGAGCACTTCTGGTCCATGTTGAATTGTTGATCTGAACAACACAAGGATTTCTTAACGAGCTAAAAAAAAATTGGAGTCCAAGTGAATATTTGTGTCAAATTTGATGAAATTCCCTCAAAACATTCTTTAGATATTGTGTTTACAAGGTTGGAAAAAAAAAGTGCTTTGAGGTCACAGAGAAATTAACCTTTTACTTTTGGCCAACAAAATCAATTGAATTCATTGTTGAGTCTAAATAAACATATATACAACATTTGTAGAAATTATCTTCAGGTGTTTTTGAGATATTGCGTTCACAAGAATGGGATATGTGGATCGACAGACAACCCAAAAAATACACATCCGGCCACTAGCTATCGTCGGCAGGAAGGCATAATAAAAACTTGTCCAAGCTTCTGTGCTGTTGAAGATCAGAGGAAAGAATCGGCTAAATTAACCTTTTAGTGAGACTGGTTTCACAGTTGACATTTCCAAGGTCAAGAATGAATGTCACACTTCAGCATGAACAAATCTATGCTTTTTGGCTCCCTGGCCACTGTCATAGCAGACTTTCTTTTGGATTGATAATAATAAGGGCTGAACTACATTTAGTGTCATAACTCAAATGGAACTGTGCAAGTGTTACAAATTACAGATTTAAATTAAAATACTTTATTTAAACTGAGTACAGCCTACTCTCAGTGTCGCAGTCAGATACACAGATACAATCAGTGTTTTTTATAACATTCGTCCCTCCCACCGCCGCTCACGATCAGACACACATGCATATGCTCAAGGAAGAGGCAGCAGGTCAAATTACCCCCTGTGATCAACCTGACTCATCTCAATCATCCCAGTGGCCCTCGGCCCAGCCTCCCCTATCTACTCTTCCCTGTTGCCATGGCAACAGCTGTACCTCACAGTTGGCTCCTCTTTTGAGGAAGCGGGTCCCGGCAAACTTGCTGGATCGCCTTGCAATGAGGGTGATGTGAACCGGCCGACCGTAGATCAGAAGCTCTGTAGTTGGTGAATAAAGGAGGAATAATAACGCAACACTGACAGCATTACACAATGACCTGCTGGTGAACACACACAAGAGATATTACAAGCCAGCAGGTGTTAATTGGCTTGTAGTTAAAGTAGTTTTGTTTCATATTTTTTGCCATGAATTTTTTTCAGGTTGTGAATTTAACTCACAACCTGAAAAAGGGTGCGTTCAGCATTAGATGACAACATATACATTTTGTTCTAATTCACAAACATCTCGGAAATAACAAAAATACTGTGTCTTACAAGAGTAAGTAACGATTTCTACAAGCATTCTTTAATGTTTAATATGTGCCACATTTCTTCACCCATACTGCCTTGTTGCATCTTTTCAAAAATTAATTTTCTGTCTGCCTCAATGTTTCCTCCTCGGCTTTATATTTCAGCATTTTCACATTTCGACATGTTGTTTATTGTAGCATCTACTGGCCTTCTCATTCGGTCAGAGAGAAACAGCACTGAAGGCCAAACAGCTTTCAGGAGCACTGACTTTAAAGTGCAGTTTACCTTGTCTGTAGTACCTGCTGCGTTTTACTGCACAACACACAGGCAGTTAATATGCACTAAAAACTGCATTAAAATAATAAAACCTTAATTCATTAATAAATGATAAAAATGAAAACGGCAGACTTTTACCATAATAAATCAGAAGGTTTATTCAGCTCTATTGTTGCCCAAAGCTCCTCTGCTGCAGTAACTCATGCATCAATACTACAAAAGCTTGAAAAAAAGAAATTATTAATGCAGAGACTAATACAAATCCCTGAGCGAAAGCTAATGTGGCACTGAAATGAATGTGTGTGTGTTACAAAACAAGATCTTGTCTTCCCTCCAAAAACAGAAGCCATCTCAAAATCTCATCTGATTAGATATGCACAGTGTTTGGTTCTGCTTTTCCCCCTGCGGATGACAGATGGAGAGATTATTCAAGTGCCCGTGTTCATATACTTGATAACCATTGCTTAATTGGCATCACATTTGTTTGCCTAAAGCCCTAAAAATAAACACAAGTTGATTCTGCAGTTTCGTGGTTAATCACATACACGTGCTGGGATGCAGTTCAACAGGTGATGCTGAGGGATGAAGGGGGTGTGTGGTTAAAGGACACGTTGTTAGAGTTGTGTGAACATTACTACAGACAGATGCTTTCCATCCACCAGAATATATATCATTGAAGTAGTAGCCTTCATAGTTTTTTTGTTTGTTTTGAAGCCCAAAGCTACAAGATGATGAAAATTAAAAAAGCACACATACACATGAAAACAGTACTGTAATAAACAAATGAAATGGACTCGACAGTGCTGCTGAAAGGATACTGGACTGGCCACAGAAGCCATGGATTATATACATGAGCCAGTCATGATGCACTATGTCCTTGACTCGTTCCAGCAGCTTCCCGTTCCACACGTATTTGTAGTACGGCTCGTTCTGGAGGCCGTAAACAACTGTGACCGAAAGAGGAAAACAAAAACATCCTCTGGATTATTTTTAATAACCTAAGATCACATTCAGATAAGAGTAGCTCAGGTAACAAAGGTCGTGAAACAAGAGCTAAGATATTTAGAAACATTAGGAAATTGCTTAAATCTTAGGTTAAGGTTATATTAATTAAAATACATGTCCTAAAAGACAGAACACATGAGTTATTCTTTCAAAATATTTCAGTAACCTCAAGAAGGTTAAATCAAACATTCATTAATTTACTTTCTAAGTTTGCCTAGCTATATTTTTAATTTAAAAATGTGTTTTCAAAAGCAATTTCCCAGCCTGTTAACTTTCAACCAAGCTCTTCTACAGTCACTGTATTAAAATGGTCTGTTGAGGAACCTCTGCTCACCTTGTGTAGGCAAACCTTCATCTTCAAAGATGTCGAAGCTGTCCTGCTTACTCTGTGTGTGAACCTCTTCCTCTGTGGCTTCCGACAGCCACTGTTCAAAAGGCCTCTGCAGCAAAGTCAGGTTGTACTGCAGCGAGTGGCTCAGGTCATAACTGTAGCTGCAAGGGTACAACAGCAAAGTCATTTCAAACAAGTAGAGTCTGTAAAGTTGCTTCATGAACTTCATTTGGCTCAAACTTCAAATTAAGTTACCCTTTTTCGAAGTAAGATTTTTCTTCACAGAGAATCTGGATGAAGAATTTGTCTTACCTGAAGTAGAAGTTACTGGAGAGGTCCACATTCTGAAAGATCCTCACATATCTATAAAAGCAAAACGGTGTCAGTCAAACTTACATCTTTAAGTCATGAGCTACGTGGTACAAAAATATGGGGATGATTTCATTGTCAGCAAAATGCAGACACATGATGCTACTTGCACAACCAAAGAATAGGAGTCAATGTCATTAAGGCACTTACAATTCACATGATCAAATAACGAAATAGACAACATCATTATCTCATTATCACATGTACAAGGAATAACTCAATATAGTTCAAGCTTTTATAATCACAGACTACACCCATTCATAATACTGTAAATTTCAGTGTCATTTTGAATGTAAATACGAGGTGCAGTATTTTAGATCATCTGTAATGCTGTAGACATAACAACGCCTTATCAATGCTCTTACTTCACTGTAATTTGTCCATTCTTTGATGCGTTCTGTGTGTGATAATAAACGATATACCTTTTAAATTGGTATTTAATTTTATTTTCCCTGTTCTGTACAGGCCCAAAACACTTTATCTTGTTAATTTTGAGACAGCAGAAGCAACGTTCAGCGGAAAAAGAGTCACAGTTTCAGAATCAAATCCCCTTGTCTTTAAAGGCATCAATATGTGTGTGTGTGTGTGTGTGTGT